ATCATCAGAGCTGTGATGGAGAAACAGGTTTACCTTTTAGTTAACATGAATGAGTTGAAGGGAAGTTATGAACTGTTTCTGAGAGACAAATAACCCCAGGATCCTTTTCTAAGTAGCTGACAGCTGTTAACTGTGCAGGGGCGGGTCTAGCAAAGTGTTGCCAGAGGTCCATGTAGGGAATTAAAAGGGAAAGGGGGGCACAAGGAAATACTTTCTTATTCTCATTTAAAATGTCTCACTTTAAAAAATTTTTTTATCTGAGTCTTACAACAAACAATTGATAGATTGATACATATATACCATCAGAACAGTGTACATCACTGTCACAACAGTGTTTATTTTCATTCAAAGGCTTTATGATTTTTCCTATAATGGTGGGCTGGTCTCTAGTCAAAATGCCTGGGACGAATTTTTTGTCCCAGTCCAGCCCTGTATGCAGCTCATCTGCAGTCTGGTGTTACCTACATCTTTCTATTCAGAAGGCAGAATTTCCGAGTTCTGAGTACAATCGAAAGCACCACGACTGCAGTTTTTGTGTTGGATGTAAAAAGCGAGGATAGAATGGCTAGGATAGAATCAGGCTGGGATTTCTCTCGTGGAAATGTGCACATTATTTTTTCCTTTCTATTGGTAGGTGGCACAGTGCACTTGTGGCAAGTAAGCAAGCTAGAAGACTGTCAATCTTGCTGGGTATCCAGTTACTGAGGCAACACATTAACAAGAGAATTCTGAGTTAAACCAAAGTTACTTTCCCTAGTAACTAGTTACTCTGAAAGTAACGAGTAACTTGAAGTAACTGAGTTACTTTTCATAGAAGTAACTAGTAATGTAACTAAGTTACTAATTTAAAGTAACTTACTCAACACTGGTCTTGATGCATGCTCAATCATCCAGGTAAGGAAATCGCAAAAAGTTGATTCTGTTCATCTGGACGTAGCATTTTGTGGGAGAAACGTTTCGTCGCTCATCCAAGTGACTTCTTCAGTCTCAGCTGACTGCAGGTTTCCCCAAATCTTATCAACAGTACATTTGCACAATAACTAAAACTAGCCCACTGAATCAACAGTGGACTGTGAGGTCAATTCCTTGATCATTAATATGCAAATTCTCATGACCATTGACCAACAACCACTGATCAATGGCCATGAGCACCATTCACAGAGAGTTGCGGAATGGCTGCAATCACAGCATTGTAAGATGGTGAAAGATGTACACTTAGGCCCCCTCCTCGATTCAGAGATGGTCTTTCCCTTTTCACATAAAGAGCCTACCTGACTCCCCCCTCATACCACTTAGCCGCTAAGCGGATGGCACAAGACAGAAGAGCTAACTCGTCGGGCCAGGACTGCAGTCTGTTCATACCTACAAGCCAGTTGACACTCTTTCAGTGATGAGGATGGACACATCCTGGACAGGGAGGATCACTGGTTTGAGTGGTTGTTGGTGGTCATGACAATTTTCATATTAATGATCAAGGAACTGACCTCACAGCCCACTGTTCATTCAGTAGGCTGGTTTCAGTCATTATGCAAATGTACTGTTTATAAGGCTGGGGAAACCTGCAGTCAGCTGAGACTGAAGAAGACACTTGGATAAGCGACGAAACGTTTCTCCCACTGAAAACGCCACGTCCAGATGAACAGAATCAACCTTTTGGGGGCCTAAGATACAATGTAACATTGTTCCTTGCTAAGTTGTCTGTTATGTCCCTTGAGTTAGGTGTCTTTTTGGTGCCTTTTTTTAAAATTTCAAGGTCAGTGTTAACGAAAACAAATATTTCTCTTAAAATGTTGAGCTACAAGGACTGGACTGAAAAACGAGTGAAAACACAGTCAATATTTAAAGAAAGACTTTGAAAGACCGTCAGAAACCCTGGAGAACTGTTGCTCAAGACCAGTTAAAATATCTGAAAGTCTGGCTCCTTAGAAAGAAAATCTAAAGAAGTACAATATTGCTTATTATTTTTAGGTTTGTGGGAGATGTATCACATAGGGCAAGGAGAAATAGGCTGCAGGTAAGCTCAGTGCGTGTCCGTAAGTGGGCAGCACTGTACAGCATTCAAGTTAATGATGAATGAGTCTCTACCTCTACCTGCAGAATGTCTAAAGCAGAGTGAAACAACACTGGTGCAAGCTGTAGTCTTATTAGGATCCACTATATCCTTGCAGATTGTCAATCCAAAGTGCTGAAGTCTTCTACCGCGATTCTTCTTCCTTCCGATTTCAAGGATCAAATGATTTGAATGTTTGTTAACCAGACTGGTTAAATCAACTTAACGACTTCGTTCACACGCAGGATTCTCATTAACTCAACTTCTCAGCTTAAAATATGACACTTCAAGATAAGTAAAAACAAAATCCTCTTGCTTCTTCTGATGTATTACCTTGTATGTACTGTAATTAAAGTAAGTCGCAGGGATCATTGAATTATGTGTCTGAAACAGTACTCGGACTGTACTACAGTACTGCATTTTGCCTTTTCAGTGAAGCCGAGGAGTAAACCTGCATGCTGTTGTGTTTAGCCCAAACCATTAAACTCTACAAAATCAACTATCTTTGCTAAGCAGTGCACTATCTGCACAGGCTCTGATGAAACACGAGACTAACAAACCACATCGAGCTGGCCTTTATCACTGAGAAAGAGTCATTTAACAGGGTCAAAAACAACAGATGGATTAGGAGCAAAGGACTTATGACAGGCTGAGGCACAGCTCTTCGTCTCAGTCGCTGATTTACAAGTGCCGGAGAGCAGAGATTCCTAAGCAGGCTGGTGAGTGTTTGTGACTCCTACAGGTGAGCAAGACTTTTGTAAGACTGTGAGGATATAAAGGGAATTTGTAATCCTTCAGTCACTGCTTTTTGAACTGGTTTATTTCAGTCATGAGCTATGGTTTAGCCCCAGGATATTTGATTGACTTTAAGATACCCTAAAAGTGTTAGTATTTTGTTACGAAGACACAACTGTCCAAACTCGCTGTTTCAGAGCGCAGTGAAGCTCAACACTGAAGCAGTGAGTGAGCGGTGATTCCAGCAGATCAGCCCCTGAGACGAAGGAAAACTGTCCTCATGGACTCCAACGGTTCCGGCAGCGTGCAGTACGACCGCTGGAATGAGGACAACATCAACATGAATGTAGAGGCTTCACAGTCCTCACTGAGGAGGTGAGACTTAGAGGATAGCAGCTGGGCTTGACACCACATGAGGACTAAGTTAAACTGACAAAGGTTAAATGTGTTTAATAAAAAGAATCCAGGTTTTATGAGTTTGACATTGACCATACAGTTTAAATCAAGTGTAGGAGAAAGGTTGTAATAGGTTTTATCCATGTATCCATCTCACTTAAACTTCCTGCAACCTATTTTTTATAGTTTAAATGATATGTAGTTACTTCCTCCAGGGAACTTGTGTTTTTGACAGTGTTTGTGTGTCTGTGAATGGGATCGCTCCAAGTTCTGAATGAACTGTGGTATAACTTTGTTTTAAAGGTGTAGAGTGGGGTCATGTTATTAATCCATTAAAATTAAACTTACATCCACCATAGGTACCAAACCACAGGTACCAAATAAACCCGCCCCCTTTCTTTCCCATTCACAGGATCTGCAACAGCATGTGTGTCGGCAGCACTGGAATAGTAGTAAAAGCAGCAGGAGCCGTAGCTGCACTGGTGGCAGTTTACATCATAGGATATGTGACGGGGTACTACATCCATCGATGCCCGTAGGGGAACCAGGAGGTCAGGAGAGAAAAGAGATTTAAAACACACCAAAAAAAGCATAAGCTTCATATGCAGAATGAGCTGTGACTGTGAGCTGTGACTGTGACGGATTTATTGTGATCAAAAAATATACAAATTCATGGTTCATACTGATACTACAGCACATGAAAATGGAGTTATATCATTACATGATGTTCTATGAAGTGTAAAATATTAATTCATATCCTTCTCCAAAAATATCAGGCTGTTTTTTTTTTTGTCCAAACTGATAACTAGAGATAAACTCCTTTGGGCAGGAGATACCTTTGGATCTACTGACTGTGGTACTTCTGTGGACTGCAGGAGTCTTAGATCACCTTGGTTTAGACTGAGGGTGAGCAATAGTTTAGACAAACATTTGTGAGTCATTTGAAGATCAGCCACTGTGGAAGTTGACTGAGTAAGTTTAATGTTTGCTACTGCTGGTCTTTTAGTGACACTCAAACTCATCCAGACCTTCTGCTTTTGTTCGATTTCTTCCCAATTGTTCTGAACAACTGCAGCTTCAACAGTTTTGGATCTCAGCTTCCTTTAATACATTTGTATTTAACACATCTACTCCACACACATACTCCAGTACATCACTACGCAGTAAAGACAAAATGGATGTTTAAAAACCTACTTTTATGCTAAAAAGTGATCTATTTTTAAACCTCAACTCAATCTAAGTTATCTCTGTTTTTCATAAAAGAACACAACCTCTGTGTTTTCTTAATGAACTGAACTTTAGAGAGCCTGTTGTGTTCGTGTGGTATCAGATCATTTTAATATTTTAAATCTATGAAGTGTCTTTTGGTTTCATATGACACAATCCTGCAAACGATACATATTAAATTTAAGCTTTAAGTTTATTAAGGGCTAAACTGACGTGAAAGTTAATGCCTATGAATCATTGTGCAAACAATACCAACCATTTACATTTAAAAGCACTGTAAACAGTTCAGTTGCATGCAAGGCTGAAGATCTTGTGTTAATGTGGTATTCTAGCTATTGTTATGCAGACCATAAATGATCTGCTGTCAGACAGTAAAACTCATATTCTTGTGCCAGAACTACTTTGTGAGACACTTCATGTAGCTAATCAGTCTCCGTGGTATTTAGACCTCCTGTGCATCATTTCCCAAACGGCAGATTGAAAGCCGACAGCTCGGTTGTACAAAGACAAACTGTTTTCCCCATTTTCCCTGTGTTAGTTTATTTCTCGCACATTATTGGTTTTTGTTAGATTTCCTCCTGTAGCACTTGGTTTGTTTTTTGCCCCTTGGTGGAATTAACCACCTGTTTGTATGACTTCAACTTGTTAAAAGATTCAGATTTCAGATGTTACTCTTCCTCCTGTCATGTGTTTGGGTCCTTGAATTCTTATACCAAGACCTTTATTTACATTACAGTTCGTTTTTTGGTTTTGTTTTTTTTTTTAGAGTTTAATAAACTTTCACATATTAAAACAAACTTCTGTGAATGGAAAAAAAAAAATCTAATGCTCCATTAGAACTTTCTATTTGCCATCCAACAATAGAAGAGAATGCTACCCCTGGTTGCAAATGCACACAACGAAATCCTTTAACTTCACAGAAACTCCAGGAAGGCTTTCCTGATAGATGCTGCTGTGGACACCATGCAAGAAACTGCTCGGCAGGACATTACAGAGAGTTAAGACACCGTACAATAAACAGAGTGAGACAGACTGACAGACGACCTCCATGTGGAGTTATAAGGACAGGCTGTCTGTGGGAGTTTCATCAAATAAATCTGCCTACAAAGAAACAGAGTAATATTATTGCACTAACAATACAACTGTCATCTCAGTTTACAGACTGGTGTTAATGGTACATACTACACTGTTTTCCTGATTTCCATATGCTTTGAATTTCATAGAGTTACAAGGACATTTCCATCCGGTTACCCTAAAAACCTCCATTCAAAAAACAACAAAATACATTACGTATCAGCACGGATGCACAGCTACACTGACCACATTCATGACAATATCAGACTTGACTGCTATCAGCAAAAAGGATGATATTTAGCAGTGGAGTGTGATGAAGAGCTGAAAGACTTTCCTGGCACATAACGGGAAATAAATTAAAAATATATACATTTTAACCAACGGCCCAGAATTTCACAAACAGAACCATAATCACGCATTTATGTGGAATGAGAAAATGGCCCACGCTGATGATAAAGGACTTCTATCAACCCAGTGTGCGAGTCCAACCTTTAACGCCGCCAGAAGCAAAGTTAATGGACCTCATAAAAATACATTTCACAGGGAACATCACTCTCTCCCCATGTGTTCCTCAACAACTCATCAATTCAGCACTGATAGGCTGTGTTGAAGATTCTGCCTGGGATTCCCTGGTGTCACAGATTATCTCCTGCAGCATGGTTTCTGCTAAGAAAGCATCTATGTTTTCTGGGCTCTCTCTTCCACATACAGCTGCATCTGTTAAAGGCAAACAACCAAACAATGTGGACATGCGGATGACAATAATTCACCATTAAATGAATCAGTGAATGGGATGCTTCTGCTTACCTTTACTATATCAGAAGTCATAGTCTTTAGTGGAATGAGTCTAGGCTCCTGCATGTGGACTTCTTGCTCATCAGCGACTATCCATGGAAAATCCTGCAGAGGCAAACACATTAATGTGACCAACACATGTAAATAACAATTCTGTGTTTCTGAGTAAGTGCATTTAAACACCTCACCTTAATTACTTGAACCTTCTCCATATTGCGAGTAGCAGCATCTCTGGTATGTACTAGTACTGTAAATGAACACCCTGTGACAAAAAAAAGAAAAGTAAAACAGTTCAATCAGTCAAATCTATGAGCCCATACCACCTTATGTGCAGTATAATGTCACCTTTCTCTGGACTTCAGTTTAATTGGCATAGATTTCTGACAAAGGCTTGATTATTCCATCAATTAATCTGATAAGAAATACTTTTGTCTTATTAATTAGCAATAATAAATATAGAAAACTCTACAGGTATTTCAAAATGAAACCCCAATTGGTTTCCATTTTAGAAATTGTAATGTTTTAAATTTTAACTGCATACAACACCTGTCAAAAAACAAACAAAAAAACTAAACCTTTGACTGTATTTCCATGTCACGTTTTAATGGAATTTTTTTTTAAAGAAAATGTTATCTAAAATCCAAAAATATATAAATAATCTCAAGTACAGTCAAAGGGCAAAGTCAAATAAAATAAGGTATATATACACAATCTAAATTGACCTTTACTCTGTCTTCTTGGAAGGCTTTCTGACATTAAGAGTTCTGACAGTTTTCTGAGGTAGATTTGGTGTGTTCTCATGTTTATGTGTGCCAAGTGAATGAGTTAGTTTGTGTCTGTAAGCCTTTAAAGGAGTATGTGGTGTTTGCAATGAAGAAAAGTGAGCACAGACTTAAATGAATGTAAATCATTTGCTAATGGGTAAATCAATTTATGCACCTCCTATCTTCCAAAGGTGAACACAAATATTTACCCCAGTAATGAAGAGAATCCTCTTAAGCTGCTTAGGCAAGACTTTGTGCTGAATCATGTGACTTAAAGGATATCATTTAAAAATCTTTCCAAAACTTTTGCAGAGTATATGAGTATATAAGCATGTATGTAATTGTCTTCTCTTCCGGTGAGCCACGATGACATTACCTGGTGGATTACTATTTAAAACAGCATCACACACGCTGATCTTCAGGATGAACGCCCTCAGCAGCTGCTCCACGTGTGACAGCAACGTGTCTGAGCTGTGAAAACACAAATAGCAGTCAGTGACCAGTGTCACAGTAAAAATGTATTTCAACAGAAAGATGCTTCTTTTTAGTAAACATTAAAATGTGGAGGGCAACCTGATGGAGAGCAGTGGTGGCTGGGAAATCTCGAAAACAAATCTCTCTACTGGATGATGCTCTTTGTCCATGATGACCACAACCACCTTCTCTGCATCGTTCTAAGAGGCGAATGGAGGATATCAGAGCAGTAAGAGGAGAAATGAGAGTACACTTTGTGTGACATTGACCCGTCACTTTCAGGACATAGCTTACCTTTTCAATGAGTGGCTTTATACAGTGTAGTGTATCTTGGATATACTGATTCAGCTCTGGGTGACATGACATCTGGAATAAAACACACCAACAGAAGTCCTGTATTAGAGAAGCTAATATGTACACACCTAACAGCTGCAAACAAATAGTAATAACACATAAAACAGTACCTGCACAGGTACGTTGTACTTCTTTCGCTTCTGAAATATCCCAGAGGGATAAACCTCACGGACATACAGGATGAGATGAATAGCGACCTCCAGGAATTCACACAGAATGTCAGCAACCACTGGAAAACATGCGAACAATAAAACCTCTCGTGTTCTTGCTAATGTGACAAAGTCCCGCCAAACCCAATGCAAACATTCAGCAATATAGCGTCGCCTACTTAGCTCACTTTAATTCATAGTAAAAACCCAGGCAGACAGTGAGAGCATGGTTTATGTAGGTTCCATATGCCCATGACTTTGCAAGGGGGACAACTACCTATTGGAAAATTAACAGTAGTCTCGCCGAGCTGACCAGACCTGGTATATATATTCCTTTAATGGCCTTACCTTGCCCAAAATTGAGATCTTGCCTCGTTAGAGTTGTCATGTTTTACTCCCCTGGTTCAGCAAAATTAAATTTAAATGCTTAATTTTCTGTACGATTTGCTAACTTGTGTAAAGCAGCAGTCTTACCGGTCCTCGTATTGATTTTAATGGTTCAATATCTCGTTTTTTGTTGCTGCTGTACCTGACAACCGAAGAGATAAGAAGTTCAGTTTTTACAGAATTTTACACGTGTTTAAAAAAAACCCGCAACGGTCCACATGACACCCGGAGACATTAGCAACCTGCCGACCCGAACCGCAGCATTTCTTTTTTTTGTACGCGAAGCTTCGTCGCCCGCCGAGGTGACGTCACTCGTTGTTTACAATTGCGTACTCTGCCGTCCACTTGTGATGACGTGATATGGACCGTTGGTTTTATTTTTAGTTTCCACCTTTTTTTTCCGCAACAGTTATTACAAAATAATAATAATAATAATAATAATAATAATAATAATAATACCGCGAGGTGATTGGCGAAAAGCACTGAAACATTTATTTTTGTCTTATATTATATTATATTTTATTATATTATAATTGATAATAGGCTTTATTTCACTAATTAATTTAGTTCACAATTTTGTTTTGATAATTACCAATTATTAGATAATTATCAGATTTTTTAAAAGTTGGTTTTAATTTTTTAGTTATGGTTTTATACTTGCTATGACAGCTTCATGAATGAAAATATCCTTAATTATCAGCCTTGCCGAATGCAGGTATTCTGTCTCCTCGGCAAGGTTATGCCATCCCGAGGTGTCCCATTGCTCATAAATATGAAAACATACCAATTACGCATGAAACATATTGAATTAAAACAGTAAATCATATGCAGCCTAACTAAGGGTGACTAATGTTATGCCTGGTTATTTAGACAATCACAACAATCTGTTTATTACGCTTATTCCTTTTCTTTTTACATTTTTTGGTTGTTTGAATTCAAATGCTAACTTACATCAAAAGTCCTCTTCACTCTCTCTTTTTTTTTTTTGCCTGTCCCGTTTGGCTCTTTTGCCATCAGAATTATTGTCTAAAGGCGAAGAAAGATGCCCAACGGATTAACTTTACCAAATTGACAATCCCAGCCTTGCCGTAATGGTCTATTTGATTCACCTTTTATTGTTTATTTTATTTTTTATTTTCACTTGCTAGATACGGGACAGACTTGAATGAGGAAAAGAAAAGGGAGAAAG